CCCCAAAACCCCAAAACCCCAAAACCCCAAAACCCCTAAATAGAACAATCTAGTTGAAATAATATTATCTCACAAGTGGTGAATATGGATTACGACAAGCATACAAAAGTGTTTCAAAAATATCAATATTACTCGAGCTTAAGGAACGTAAATAATAAAAGTTGTAAGAAGCCGACATTGCTGATAAACAGAGTGAAAATTCAGGGTAATTTTATTAAATATGGAATTAAATTACCTATTTTTTACAGAATCGAGATTACAAGTGAATCCCCAATTGCTGAATATCTTCCATCCTAAGAGCACTACTCCACTTTGAGGTGTCTCATCAGCAACTGTGAGAACCAGGCCAGCATTGACCAAGCCAAGTAAGTCTCTAAGTTGCTTTATTAAATGATTGAATAGCCCCATGTTCTAAGAATCAGCAGCCTGATTATCAGTCTAATGAAGAACCAAGACACAGTGTCCCTACTCATAAATAAGAATGATTGAGGTAATGCCACAGATAATTTATTTTCAGACCATTATACTAACTATGTTAAGTCAAGAATAAAGAGATCTCCTCAGAAATTCTCTAAACAAGCAGATTACCTTGTGACTCCAAGTAGCCCACATTGGTCAAAGGCATGGCCAGGCTTGATGAAGACAACTCCGTCACCTATGATTCATAAGGAAAGGATAAAGGTAAGTTTTCCTAAGAAGTTCTACAATTTCTTAGAATATTTCCGAGTTGCCATATTTAGGACAGCCAAGTATACCTAAGTTATGCATGGAATGAGTTATGAAATTAGGTGAATTTTGTACCGAAAATATTATCATGGTTTATTTTCATCCTGACCTGGCTGAAGAAAGCCTTCTCATAAATTCTTAGAACATATGTGCGGTCAATTAAGAAATAATATTTTCTTAGAATTTAAACTTTGAATTTTATTTATAAAGATGGGGAGATTGAGGGAGAGCAACTCTTGCTGAATAAATCGAGATTTTGGATAATCGGGAACGCTTTCTTGGCGGTTATGAAAAATTAATTTTGGTTTTAATTAACCCTCATTAGCTCAATTTTAATTCGATCTGTTCTGTTTGTTTATTCCAAGACTTTCTTATAATCTATTAATAAGGTAATTTTCAAAGATAATTAATAAAAATAAACATTTACAATTTCATAGACAGCAAGAGGACGTGGACACCGTCAGAACGATCCCCTAGGATGCCCAACTTTCCGTATAACACGTAAAAAACAACTAACAAAGAGCTTAAACTGCTCTCCGAGACCTCTAAAGAACAACCACTCCTTTAAGGTCACCAAAAGGCCAAAATCCCCCAAAAAAATCACTCCTTCCAAAGGTACATCCCCTTCACCCCCTCTCCTACCCAAAAATCCCTTTTCCCCCTCTCCTAACCCCCTTACAGCTTATCCCAGCCTCCAGCACCCAAAAGGCTTCTTCCAAAACATCCACCTCCAAAAACTCTTCAACAGCCCTCGTTGCTCCTAATCCAGTACCCTTCAATTCTTAAAAATTTTCCTGGGGTTTTGGGGTTTTGGGGTTTTGGGGTTTTGGGG